TGTCGAAAACGACATACAGTGGGGTCATGGTGGTTTAAAGTCAAATGTCAACTGCCAGTTAAAAGACTTTTTGCCGCATGACCTTTTCTAACAATATAAAGTGTGTCACCCTGCAACTATTCATTACAATTCTGTTTATAAATTTACAGGACAAAAGTTTTGTCATTGTCCTCATTTGGACTTTTACTGAGAATGCCACTTCGTCCATCCCATTTCAGATTCTCTCCGACCCGATTTGGGAACGATCACTTCGCCACGTATTTGCAGTCATTTTATGTCGAGAGATTGCCGAAGTAGTTACGACAGCTCTTGTCTTCCCCATTCTTTTCACGACTTCCTCTGCCTTCCGTCATCGTTTCCTAGTACTTCTACGACTGAATTCTCCTTACGATCACCAACAATCGAGTTTGCACTATTGTGGGACAAACCCTTGCACTTACTTTAATCGGATGTGTACATTTAATCCGGCAGAGTTAGTACTACTACTACTACTTAAATGTCGCCATAAGTATTTTTCTCCATGGAATACGATGTTTGCTTTTTTTAGATCACCCCAGATGATCTGCAGAGAGGCTAATGCTAAAGAACCTGTCCGTTGGAGTTGGGGCAAGGGTTGGCGACAATCCTACTCACTCCCTGCGTTCTCGCCGCCTCCAGCATCTGAAAGAGAGGATCCAGAATATCTCGATGTTCTAGTGAAACAGCATAATAGTGCTTTTGCTGCAGCAGCAACACCTACTCTTGATACTCGCTCCTCAAATTATTATCTTTAGGAAGAAATGCCATAGACTAATGGCAATTGATGTGACCAAATATGTACACACTTCAATAAATTTGTTCGGAGCATTTTACAACTTACTTTCTTTTTCGAAACATGCAAGTATAATTTACTTTTAATTATCTGCACTTTACCAGAACGTATGTTTGTTGATATCCCCACGGTATGTCAATGCTTTACTATTTGACCACATCTAATTTAAGTTTAATTTTCTTATAAATACTTTTAAATCGGCTTTACATAATTTTGGTAGAAATCTGTCTCCTTTAACAATTCTGTAAATGCTGCTGGAAATATAACAAAGTGTAAAGAATTTAATTGTCTAATAAAATTTAGTATTTTGAAATATTGTAAATAATTGAATTGGGTAACATTATTGAGATCCTCCACCAAACGATAGCTTAACAAATCTACGATCTTATATAACTGTGTTAACTAGAAAATGAACGGTAACAGTTATTAAAAACTAGCGTAAAATTACTTAAACTGATGCTAAGTTGATCGAATAGGTAAAAAGAAGTCATCAATAATTTATTCAAGTAAGCAACTATAAAGTATTTCTGTATATTCCCCATTCATTTGTCCGTTGTAAATGCTGATAGTATAAAATGCATGGCAAATAGATATGAATGTGCCGTTGAATAAATTATTAAACCGCTCATAATATATATCGTTAAGAACATATGCATATAAAATGACTGCAGGCCTCAAAGGAATATAGACGAGCTACCAACCTGCAA